TGGCTGTGGACTGGCTGGGTGGAGCCCAGAGCCAGGCTGGCAAGCAGCAGGCAGGTTGTAGGGGGTAGATGAACCGCAGACCTCCCCAGCACTCAGCACTGGAATCACTGGGCCGTGGGGAGGTGTGGGGGGGCAGAAAAACAGCCCTCCTCCGCTGGTTCTAGACCACAGAAGGGGAGGTGAGGCGGAGGGAAGCTGCGGTTGGAGGGCGGGGCGGCCGGTGTGGGCGGTGCTGAGCGGTGGCCTCAGCAAGGCGCCCCAGAACCAGGAAGAGAAACTGAGCCTGAGAAAGGGTGGGTGGGGGGTGCTGGAGTCCCCCCACCCCGGGGGCCTGCAGAGGGGGCTGGGCGGGCCACACCATGCTCTGGGCCTCAGTTTCCCCATGCAAAGGGAGATCCTCGGGGCCTTCTGTGCTGTTCTGCACTCAACAGATGCCGTGGGCATCCCACGACTCCCAGAGCTGCCCCCCACCCGATCACGGGTGGGGGGGGGGAGAGTGGGGGGGCAGGGGCTCAGCCAGCAGGGGACCCGCAGAGCTTCTTTATTTTTAGGTCTGAATTTGACTTTAATCGTTACTTAGTGGATTCTATTTCCAGTCCTTGGATGAAGGAGCCTAGAAGGGGAGGAGGAGGGAAACTGTGCTCCCCCCCCCTCCACCCATCCTGTCCCCAGCCAAGGGCTCGCCCCAGCCAGGCCATGGGGCCAGAACCTTGGGGGATGACCCCGCCCTGTGACCTCATCCTGGCCAGAGCTGCGGGGCAGGAGCGGCTGTAATGAGTGCCCATCTCCCCAGACCACAGCAACAGAGACCAGCGGCTGGCCGCTAGGGTCTCAGGTCACACAGCCCCGTGCCTAGTTAGTCCCGACTCATCCAGGGTCACCTGGGGCTCAGGCCTCTCGGAGAAACAGGGAGTGGCAGGCAGAGACGGGCTCCTTCCCACTGCCCTCGGGGTGGCACTCCCGGTTACTCAAGTGTGCGAGAAGGCGAGAGGGAGGCAGGGAGAGGCGCAGCAGCAGACACTCAGGTTAGACCTGCGGGAGGAGGATGCTAACACACCCCACTCCTCGGGGGCCTTGCCGCCCAGCCGGGTTCCGTCCAGCTCACAGGTGGGAGGACTCTAGGGCCCTCTCCACCTCCAGCTTTCTCTCCCTTCCTTGGCTACAGGGAAGGATGGGAATTTGAGGCTGGCTCGTGAGACTTCAATTCCCACTGGGACGAATGGGGCGGGGCCAACTTTCCCAAAGTGGGAGGGGCAACATGGCAACCCTCTAGGAAGGGGCTTCCTCAAGCCTGGTGTGTGTAGCCTACACCTGGAATCCCAGCCTACAGAAGGCTGAGTGTGACACCAGCCCGGGCTACGCACGGAGACCCCGTCTCAAAAGAACAAAAAAGCAACCAGGCGCCGGTGGCTCACGCCTGTCATCCTAGCTACTCAGGAGGCTGAGATCTGAGGATCCCAGTTTCAAAGCCAGAACTGGAAAGTCTGTGAGACCCTTATCCCCAATTAACCAGGGGGAAAAAAAAGGCTGAAGTGGTGCTGTGGCTCAAGTGGTGAAGCACCAGCTCAGGTTCAGCACTCAGGCCCTCAGTGAAAGCCCCAGGAACTGCACAGACACATGCAACACACACACACACACACACACACACACACACACACACACACACACACACACACACACACACGGACTCTTCTGAAAGGGAAAATGGGTAGAATCAGGCCCTGGACACCAAGGCCCCTGCCAGTCACCCACATGGTGATGGAGAGAGAGGGTAGAAAGAGGAGGAAGGCAGGGAGTCCTCGAAGAGGAAGAGGGGCAGCCCGGAGCTTCAGGAGGGGAAGGTTTTGGAGGGGTTGGCACAAGCACTGGTCCTGGGGGGGAGTGGGGAGGGTCAGAGCCTGGCACTTTCTTTGTGTGTGCGTCAGTGGTGGGACTTGAACTCAGGGCCTTTTGCTCTGCTTGGCTACTTATTGATGTTCAAGATGAATGTTGTAGCACTTTGAGCTACAGCTCCACTTCCGGTTTTCTGGTGGTTCATTGGAGATACAAAGTCACAGGGCTGGCTTTGAACCACGGATCCTCAGCACTCAGCCTCCTGAGTAGCTGGGATGAGAGGCGTGAGCCAACATCAGGCACTTTCCAGCTCCTTCTTGGTTGGATCACACTGTCCCCTGAAGCCACCCCAGGGTGGCTTGGGGTACACTTGGGCTCAGAGTCCATCCTCCCCCCCCCTACACACATACACCTACCCACACCCTAGCTCAATGCTATGGTGCTCTGGAGGGCTGGATGCCAAACTGCCTGCATGCTTCGGGTTGTTTTAGGGGTTCGTAGTAACAGCCCCCACAACAGCGACAGATGGGAAGGATGTGCTTGCTCAGTAAGTAGTGGAGGCTCCTGGGAAGAGCAGCAGGGGAAGAAGAGATGCTTGATGCCCCAGGAAGGTGTGGCTGCATTCGCTCAGAATGACACCACCAGCACACAGCACTATGGTGGCCACGGCGCCAAGAAAGGATGTGGTTGGGAAAAGGCAGCTGCCCGAGAGACAGATGGGCCACTTTAGTTTTGTCTTCTTAAGTTATCTGGCTTTCTTTTTCTTGTCATTTTTTTTTTTGGAGATGGGTTTTACTATAGAGCCTGGGGGAGGGAGGAAACTTCCAGATCCTCCTGCCTTAGTCTCTAGAGTGGCAGGATTCTGGGACTGGTTGGCATTACTTTTCTGAGTGACATTTTCTCAGAAGGGGAGCTGTGGTTCCAGTACTAGAGCATCAGCCTTATGCAAAACCAAAACCAAAACACAAAACAGCTTAAGGGCCTGAGTTCAAGCCCCTGTACTGGCACTAAAGAAACAACATTTTCTCTTCTCCTTTCCTTTTGTGGCATGGGGAATTAAACCCAGGGCTTTGGAAAGGGTAGGTGAGTGCCCAGCCCCAGAGAACACGGCCCCATAGCTTTTAGATCCACATTTCTGCAGGGGACAGGCCTTGTTGCTGGTGGGCATGGCTCTCTCTACACTGTCTTCTTCCTGTGACTCAGCACCTCTCTGCTCCTCAAAAGATAAAACCAATGGCCAGACACCAGTGACTCACACCTGTCATCCCAGCTACTCAGGAGGCTGAGATCTGAGGATTGACATTCAAAGCCAGGTAGGGCAGGAAAAGTCGGTGAGACTCTTATCTCCAATTAACTACTCTCCTCCCAAAAAAATTCTGGAAGTGGAGGTGTGGTTTAAGCAGTAGAGTGCCAACCTTGAGCGAAGAAAGTAAAGGGACATTACCCAAGCCCTGAGTTCAAGTTCTAGTACCAGCATGAAAAGAAAAGAAAAAAAATCAAGCCCAGAGCTGCCCGTGGGTGCGCGGCCTGACCCATCTGCCCATGCGGAGATGTCCTGGGTCGCGCTGTGCATTCTGGGCCTCTGCCTCTATCTGTACCATTCAGGGGTGGCTGAACTCTATTTCCTCTCCAACATTTGTGGGCTCAGCCTTTTGAGGCCCTGACAACGGACGGGGGGGGGGGGGGGAGAACAATCGTATTCTGGGCTTCCCGTACCCCAGACTCAACACGAGACAGAAAGAACAGCCACTTCTGGGAGAGAGAGAGAGGAAAGCACTGAGTTCACCAAATAAAAAACACCCTCCATTCGCATGGCGGCCTGACACTCAGCACTGGGACTCAGCACTACACCCTTGAAGCTCAGAGCTGGTAAAGAAGCACCCAACCATGACAGGCACGTAGGCCCGTGCTTGTCTGCCAAGACTGGAGGAAGCTGCCAATACACCCAGGGTCCTACCTTGCCTGTCCTCATCTCGTTGGTGTTCTGCACTTGGCTGGTTTGCTCCTGAGCCAGCTGTGGTAACAGCTGTGGTCAAGGGGGCCAGGGTCAGGATCTCAGGAGCCTCTCTCCCCAGGATCCCCAGCCACAAGCATCAAACCTCGCCTAGGCAGACTCCCCGATGCAGAGCGAGGCCGGAAGTCCTCTTCCTCCTCTCCAACCCTGTGCAGGGGCCCATGTGCTCTCCACAAGCTCCCTGCTGGGCCAGGCTGGGGGAGCTAGTCCCTGGTTCTCCTTGACTCAGAGCTGTCCAGCTGTGCAGAGCTGGGATTGAGATCACCCCAGACCCGCCCTTCAGCTTCTCCAGTGTACAACCTGGGCAGGGCAGGGAACTCCTTCTTTAACTCCACTGATCCAGTGGCTGGGCACTTCCCTACCTAACACTTGGTCTTGGACGCTAAGAAGCCTGGGCAGAATGGGCTGCTCTGGTGCCAAGCAGTTCTAAATAATGCCCAGGGTCACTTCCACCCAGGCCCACAGCCCTGCCCCCTGTCCCCACCCAGGGGTCAGAGTTCCCTTGGCTCGGGCCTGGCGCTCTGAGCACAGGTTCAGACCCAGGACAAGGGGCTGGTGGGGCCAGCAGGGATGCTGGGGCTGGAAAGGGCAGAACTCCCGGGGGTCCTCCACGGCCAGCTCCACACCAGGTGTGCGAGTGTTCTGCATGTCCGTATGTGTGTGCAAGTGAGTGTATCCGTATGCGTGCATGCAAGTGTGTGTGTGTGTGTGTGTCTGCAGGCGTGTTGCATGTGTCTGGGTGTCCAGCTGCGTGTGCATGCGTGTGTGTGTGTCTGCATGCGTGTGCGTGTGTACGTGTGTGCACGCCTCTGTGTGTGTGTGTGTGTGTGTGTGTGCGTGTGCGTGCTCGGCTGACCCCGGGGGTTCCTGGGGACACTCGGGGTCAGTGCCCCCCCTCTTCCTCCCCCCTCCCCCTGCCTCTCCCCCTCCGGGTCCGGGCCCTGCCGGGAGTCCCGGGAGAATTCGAACCCGCGGCGGCGGCGGGGTGGGGGCGGGGAGGGGGCGGAGGCCGGCCTCCACGCCCGGTCCTCCCTCCCGGCGGAGGCCGGCGGGGACCCCGCCCGCCCCGTCCCCCCCCCGCCCCGTCCCCCCCCCGCCCCGTCCCCCCCCCCGCCCGTCCCCCCCGCCCCGTCCCCCCCCCCCCCGCGCTCACCTCGGTCGGGGCACCGCGGTCCGGGCGGCATCAGCGGCCTGCGGGGCGGCCCATGCGGCCGGGGGGGCGCCGAGCGCGGCCTGCCCGGCCCGGCCGCGGGCCCGGGGCGGGCGGCGGGAACAATGTCTGCGCGCGGCGCGGCGGGCTCCGGTCCGAGCCCGGGCGGCGGGCCGGGCCTGGCGGGGCCCCGGCTCCGGGGTCGCCGAGGTCCCCGCCCCGCGGGCGCGCACGGCCCGACGGCGGCGCCGCGCGGCGACCCGCCCCGGCGGGGATCGGCCGGGCGGAGGGCGGCTCGGCTCCGCTCGGCGGCGCGGGGCTCGGCGGCCGCACCTCCCCGGCGTCGGCGCCGCTCGCCCCGGGCTCGGCGGGGAGGAAACTCGCAGGCCCGGCGGGGAGGAAGCGCGGCCCGGATCCTCCGCCCGCCGCACTGCGCCTGCGCGGGGAGGGGGCGGGGCGGCGCCGCCTGCCGGGCGCTCGCGGAACTGCAGGGGGCGTGGCCGGGCCGCCCCGGGGGGCCGGGGGCGGGGCGGGGCCTGGGGGTCCCTGCCCGGCCTGGGGTCCCGGCCCCGCCTGGGGCCCAGCCCTGGGCCTCCCTGCAGCCCGCCCTCAGGCCTGTGGAACTCCATTCTGCAGTAAGCATTCATTCATTCACTCATTCATTCATTCAGCACAACTTCCAGGCCTTCTTGCCCAGGGGCCCCCCCAGGGAAGGCTTTCATTACTGCTGGACCTTCATTGTGGCCAGGTGGTGAGTAGCACTGGGAACTGACAGGGACATTCCTTTTTCCTTTCTTTCTTTTTCATCCTGGAGGAACTTAGTTGCTGTGTCACCTTGGGCTGGTTACCTGACTTTTCTGGGCTCCCTGGTTTTTCCACTTGCTCAAATGGAGGAAAAGGATAACACCGACTTATCACTGCGTTTTGCTTAGAGGAAATGAGTCAAGAGGTTTCAAGTGCTTACCGTGCAGTGGCTGCCACGCGTTGAGTCTTCAATTAAACACGGACTGTTATTATATCTCATTGTTAATGAGGATTCCGCTTCCTGCCTGGGTCATCAGCCCTCAGTTATAAAAACAGCACCGTGGCCCTGCACCGGTGGCTCACACCTGTCATCCCAGTTGCTCAGGAGGCTGAGATCTAATGATTGTGGTTTGAAGTCAGCCTGGGCAGGAAAAAGTCAGTGAGACTCTTATCTCCAATGAAACACCCCCAAACAGCCGGAAGTGAAGTTGTGGCTCAAAGTGGTAGAGCGCTCACCTTGAACAAACTTCAGTTCAAACCCCAGTACTGGCACCAAAAAAAAAGGGGGGGGGGCCTAGTGCTGTGGTACATGCCTGTAATCCCAGCTTCTTGGAGTTGGACATTGTCAGGATAGCAGGAAGTCCAGGAAAAAAGTTATTGAGCCCCATGTCAACCAATGAACAAGGAAGTGTGCACCTGCCATCCAGCTGTCCGGGAGCCACAGACAGGAAGATCTTGATCTGAGGCTGGGCTCAGGCAAAAACTGGAGACGTTAGCCAAAACATAACAAAAGCAAACATTGCCTGCTTGCCTAGCCATCAAGAAGCCCTGAGTTAGCCGGGGGCTGGTGGCTCACACCTGTCATCCCAGCTACTCAGGGGGCTAAGATCTAAGGATCGTGGTTCAAAGCCAGCCTGGGCAGGAAAGGCCATGAGATTCAGTGCTAGCCTTGAGCTGAAGAGCTCAGGGACAGCGGCCAAGCCCAGAGTTCAAGCCCCACAACCGACCAAAAAATAAAAGAAGCCCTTAGTCTAAACTACAGCACGTGCAGGTGTGTGCGCGCACACACACATACACGTGCACACACGCACACACAGGCACACACATGCACACATGCCTTCTTGTTTTATTTTATTTTTTTTGCTTATGTGGTGCTGAGGAATCGAACCCAGGGCCTCTGGCATGCAAGGCAAGCGCTCTACCACTGAGCCACCTTCCCAGCCCCAACACACATGCCTTCTTGAGTGCCAGGAGATGGGCAGGGGCTGGTCCTCTGACCCAGAATACCTTGGGAACAATGTTCTAGCAAGGAGCCAGCCTTGGTACAATGGGGGAGGAGAAGAGGGGGTATATGGAGAACTAAGATGTCCCTTGAGGGGCTGGGAAGGTGGCTCAGTGGTAGAGCACTTGCCTTGCATGCCTGAGGCCCTGGGTTCGATTCCTCCGCACCACATAAGCAAAAAGAAAAAAAAAAGCCAGAAGTGGTGCTGTGGCTCAAGTGGTAGAGTGCTAGCCTTGAGCTGAAGAGCTGAGGGACAGCGCCCAGGCCCAGAGTTCAGGCCCCACGACCGGACCCAAAAAAAAAAAAAAAAAGATGTCCCTCGAAGAAGCTTCTAGAAGATCTCAGCAATAGATGTGGCATGATGAAAAAAATAAATAAATAAAAGTAGGGGGAGGGAGAGGGATTTGGGTTCAAATCTCAGGTTCAGATCTGGGCTGGATGGCAAACAAGCTGTGTGGCTTTGGGCTAATGACCTAAGGTCTCTGAGTGCAATTTCTTCTTTGAGAGATGGTTTGGGAACACTGAACACACATTTCGCCATCCAGACAGATCAAGGCCTGGGGGGGCGGGGGGGGGGGGTTTGTCTGGTCATGTTCGCTCTTCTCCCTCCTCTGACGACAAGATGAAATGATAAAACAGCCCCCCCTCCCTGCATGGGGGGCGGGGCTGCCTTGTCTCAGCAACCCCAGCAGATGCTTCTGGAAGGGAGGAACTGACACTCTCCTTCTTGCTCTGGCTGTCTGAGCTGGGCCGAGTGGGGGTTTGATGCAAACCATCTCTGTTGTCAATGTTATCTTCAACCTTCACCTCTTTTTTCCTGGGTGTGCTCTCCCGCCCCACCCCCAAGTGTGAACTTTGGAGTCAAATAAAGCTGAATTTGCATCCAGGCCCCACCTCTTCTCCGATGGAAAATAACGTCATCTTGGTTTGGTTTGGTTTTGGTGTCCGTACTGGGGCTTGAACTCAGGGCCTTGTGTGTCTCAAGTAGCGCTCTATCACTTGAGCCAGAGCTCCACTTCTGGCTTTATTTTTTGGTGGTTCATTGGAGATAAGAGTCTCATCGGAGGCTGGGAGTGTGGCTCAGTGGTAGAGTGTTTACCTAGCATGCGTGAAGCCCTGGGCTCGATTCCTCAATACCACATACACAGAAAGAGCCAGAAATGGCGCTGTGGCTCCAGTGGTAGAGCACCAGCCTTGAGGGAAGGGGGAGAGCCCAGGGACAGCACCCTGAGTTCAAGTCCCACGAAGCCTGGACTTCCCCAGGCTGGGCTGCCTGGGAAGTGGAAGTGGGGTGTGGAGAGCCCAATGGGGAGCCAGGCCTTCAGGCTAGACCTCTGCCTTCGGAGTCCAGTGGGGTCCAAGAGTCTAAAGCAACTCTGGGAGAACTGTGGGCCCCCTTCCCTGGATTCCCTAGCAGTATGGGGAAGGGGGGTCCCTCTGGGCCTCCTCCCTGGCCTCCTGCCCCCAGCCTCTCTCCTTGGCCTCCTCCCTCCTCCCTTCCCCCTCCCTGTCTTGGGTACAAGATGACAATTTAGAGAAACTGTAGTTTGACACTGCTCTGGGCAGGCCCCCAGGGCAGAAAACAGGAAGCCCAAGATTAGAGGCTGATTTCCAGCAAAGTCCCCGAGTATTTCCCTAGGGACAGGTGCTGGGCCACACTGGGGAGGGGACAGACCACAGCGCCGCCCTCCTCCCCCCCCCCCCCCCAGCACCTCCATCCACCTGCTTTGGCTGAGTTGCGCGTTCTCCGGGGGCTGGCAGGATCAAGAGGAAAGGGCATGGATTTGGATCATCTCCCTGTTATGGGATCTCACGGAGCCATGGGGGTGGTAGAAAGGGGGTCCCTCGTGGAAGAAAAGGCCAGGTTGATGCTAGGGACTCAGCATTTCTCCTTTCTTTTCTTTCTTTCTTTTTGTCAGTCCTGGGGCTTGAACTCGGGGCCTGGACACTGTCCCTGAGCTCCTTTTGGTCAAGGCTAGCACTCTACCATTTGAACCACAGTGCCAGTTCTGGCTTTTTCTGTGTATGTGGTACTAAGGACTCGAACCCAGGGCTTCATGCATGCTAGGCAAGCACTCTACCACTGAGCCACCTTCCCAGCCCAGCCCTTTTCTTTTTTTTTTAGGAGAGTCTGGTGGTGGGGCTCGAACTCAAGGCCTGATCACTACCCTATAGCTTTTCCACTTAAGGCTGGTGCTCTACCACTTGAGCTATAGCGCCACTTCCGGTTTTCTGGTGGTTCATTGGACACGAGAGTCTCACAGACTTTCCTGCCTGGGCTGGCTTTGAACCTCCGATCCCCAGCTGTCAGCCTCTGGTGTGAAGGATTGGCATTGGGTGCTGGCTGCCCTGGGCCGGGGGTACCAGGCCACAGGGTGGCAGGAGGCAGCAGACAGGAGAGAGGAAGGTGGCATGCAAATGGGGGCTGCATCCGGTTCAAACCGCACGGGAAAGGCCTCCACTTCCTCAGCCAACTGCCATCTCCCCACGGTGGTTTTCTCTTTTCTGGGTTTTGGTTTTTTTGTTTTTGTGCCAGTCCTGGGACTTGAACTCAGGGCCTGGGTGTTTGTCCCTGAGTTTTTGGTTTATTTTTGTTTTTGTTTTTTGCTCAAGGGTGGCACTCTACCACGTGAGCCACAGCTGCACTGGTAAGTTTTTGGTGGTTCCTTGGAGACAAGAGTCTCACAGACTTCCCCCAGCTGGCTTTGAATCATGATCCTCACATCTCAGCCTCCTGAGTAGCTAGGATGACAGGCGTGACCACCGGTGCCCGGCTTCTTAGAACTCCATTGATCTCTAGCTGATACCAGCCTGGATGGGATACAGAGCCCCTAGTGGGCACCCCGGCCCCATCCATGGAAGCAAGGCTGGGGGAGAAGAAGAACTTAGAGAAAGGGTACCAGCTCCCAGTCACTCATGAAAACTGGGTTTGTTCTTGCCTGGTGCTGGCGGCCCCCACCTGACATCCTAACTCCTCAGGAAGCTGGGATCTGAGGATTGTGTTTCAAAGTCGGCTCGGGCAGGGAAGTCTGTGAGACTCTTTATCTCTCATTAACCAGCA